AAAAAAATGGGGCTCAAACAAGGGCTAAATATAGTAAGAACTAAGAAATCACCTAAACATGAAAAGCATACTCATAAAGGAAACACGTAATATGACAACATATTCATCTCCAGATTTTTTGCATCATTAGTTGCATCCTTGATATCTCGATGTTGCACTTTGACCTTATCTTTGTGCCTTTGGATAATCAAAGCTCTGAACCAGCAACCTCTGATGCCAATATCTTGAGAAAGCACTTCAACTTGAGAACCAATACTCAAATATTGCGTACGGATTAGCATCCTTGAATCTTGCCATGATAAGGATATAGAAGGACAGCCTTCATTCAGAATGGACATTTTCCTGCAGCCTTCAGAAATGATGAAACCACCACTGCCATCTTCAGGTATAGCATCAACAACCTCTCTTTTTCCGTTAGGTTGCAAGTATGGTTGCACGTATATCTCACATTGGACCTTCGAAGTCTCTTCTTGGGTCTACTTCCAACTGCATCACTAAGAGTTCCCTCTACCTTAATATTATCATCGGATGTTCCAAGCGGTGAAGAAGAAGACATATTTCCAAGTATTTCCTGTTTCCAGTAACCTTTAAACTCTTGTTATGTCAAATGCCTTGATATCATCATTATCAAACTGTCTATAGCAAACGAATGGCACAGACAGCAATGTTGTTGCCTTCTTCAAAACTTTCTCATAACGCTGTGGACTAAGGACGGTTGCAAGTCCATCAATGCATTCAATACTGAGATCTTGAAAACAAAGAGAAAAGAAAATCTCTCTGTCAGTATAGTTATGAGGCAAATCAAAACCAACCTCATCAATTTTGTGAAACCATCATACCACAACCATCTTATCGCCTCGGGAATCTTCATATATATCATCTAGGTAAGCCACGAGCTGTTTATCTTCTTCAGCTAATACATAAACAAAGTCATGAACCAGTTAGTTTTAGCAAAAGAAAGAAAATGAACATGTGATTAATAAGCCAATCAACTTCTATTTCATGACTATTTGATTAAGAGAACTGTCAGAAAAGGAAAGACTTACAGATATTTAACACCATTGCGACAAAATGATAAATAGTGCTTCTGCATTTTCCGACAAGTCCATGATAACTGCGACCACATAAATTCCATTGTATGCAGCCCTCGCTTCAGCATTTGAACATCCTGCAAAGAATTTATTAAAAGAGCCATAGGTCACATATCCATTCCATAGTACCTTAAGGCAGAAAGAATTAAGAAAACTATAATGAATATTTGCTAACCTTAATAATATCAGCGTCCAACTTGTGGGCACCTTTTTTCCCCATATAATCACCAAATTGTTCAAAAAAACAATGCTGACTTACATCTGGAAGTGGAATCATAATGGAACAATTAGTGCCATAGTACAACAGCATTCTCCTTTGAAGCATGATAGTGAAAGTTACTACGAATAGCACTACTAAATAAGCAGACAAATCAAGGTAAATAGAAAGACAGAAGTTAATAGAATAAACAATTAAAAAGAACTGTAGCACAGATAACCAAGATCCTTACAAGAAAAAGTTATAAAACAACAGTCAACTTTGTCCACCACAATGGTCATCAAAAACACCACAAATAGTAGAAAAACCAATCAAACAAAAATGATGGAAGACCATGGTGCGATATGGGGAAAAGAAATTCTAAAAGACTCAACCAGCTTTTACAAATTGACTTACATTCTCACAACCCATTGTCAGTTTTTCTATAACATGGGTACCAAAAATGTTTGAGACGATTACACTCTGCCATTGAAAGACAATGCAATGATGAAAACAGAAAAAAGTGAGGGATTAAACAGGACCCAAAAAAGGACAATGGTTTCTAGATCAAAAGAAAAGGGTGGAAATGTATAAAATAACAAAAATGCAACTTTGCATATAACTTCAAATTTAGATTAAATAGGACAAAACAACTATATCTATACTGACAAATTGTAGAGAACGAGAGACGGATAAGCCTGGAATATTGACTGTCAAATTAGAGAAATACATGTGAAATTAATATTAGCGATAGGATCCGTGGAGCGCAACAAACTTACAAAGATCCGGGTCAACTTGAAGATGAACCAATGATGAGTCGCGAGTAAATATGATCAATGAATCCATGTATTTACTTGTTCAAGCTACGGAGGCCAAGAGCTTGAAGTTAACAAGCCAAATACCAAGTTTCATGTTGACCATACAAGCGGAAACAAGTTGGATGCATTGGAATTAAGAAAGCAAAATTGGAAGCCAGTCGGATAAATATGCTAACGTAGTATAAAACGGGATGCTATAGCATGTACTATTCCCGAAACAAAGAAGTGGAATTTTAATTGTTCTATGCTATCGCGGGATTTATAACTATGAGGTAACATAGTTCATTTTTGGGACGCGTCTTTTTTAGATTTTTCCTAGGATTCCATTTTAGGTAGAACTCTTGTTATGGTATCCTTTTTTTTATATAATTCCATTTTAATTAGATTTTAATGGGTTCACTATAAGTACGATTGATTATTTTCATTGAATACATTATTGCGAGATTAATAATAAAGCGAGATTTCCTTTTTCTTGTTCTTCATTCAACTTAATTTCGAACTTATCAAATATTTCATCTTTGTGACATTCAACAAATTCATAGCAAGGTTTAATTTTTGTAATTAAGGGGTCAAGTTTTTCCATTACTTTGGTTCCTTAATTCTATAAATTATTGGGTCAAGCTCCAAATTGGGATTTTAGCTTTCTTAGGTTGTGATTCAATATTTTGTAGATGTCAGAGCTACTATTACTCCGTAGATTCACATCAACATAAGAAAGCTAAAGAAGACGTCAGCAAAATGAAATCAATGTTCCTCATATATTCAATAAATATATGTTTCAACCACAAATCATATGGGCGAACAACAGAGGTCTACTCTTGAAATGCTCATAAAACCCTTCTTTTATGAATGAACATCATCCAATTGTATAAATCCTTGGCAACCTAATGTGTTACCTTTAAACTACAATAAAAAAAGGCAAAGAAGCTCTTTAACACTACTAGATCTTTTACCACATAACCTAAAAATCCACCTCCAGAAAATTGATAATAACTCCTAAAGGTAAATTGATAATAACACTACCAGATCTTTTACCGCATAATCTAAAAATCCACCTCCAAAAAATTGATAATAACTCCTCAAGGTAAAAAACAATAAATAAATAAACACTAATCAGAATAACTCCGTCAGCAAAAGTGGTATTATTCAGAAAAATGCAGTTCAATAAAGAAAATTCATTTTCTCCCCACTTTAGCACATCAAACATCCTCGTGAAAATTCAGCCAATATATAATCTCAAAAGAAATCTAGAGAAGTTCTATATTCTTAAAAACTTGTTTCCAAACTGTTGAATTACATAAAAAGACGAACAAAAGAAGGGCCTTTACCCACCTTGATTATTCCAGTACCCAGAACCTCCTTTTTAATAATAAAAATTGAAACAGATAAAAGAAAACAAGAAATAATTTGTATAGCGCCATATTTCATTTTTCACTTAAAAAAAAAATCAATTTAAACCGGAAGCTAAACTTATCTAGAAAAGAAAATGATATGAAAGAGAAATCAGTGATGAAAGAAAAGATGACAAAAAATGGTTCATTTCTTTTGTAAAAGTCCATGGAGCCAGATATTCCACTTTTGATCCTATATTAACCTCAATCCCAAAAAGAACCAAAAAAAACAAAGAGTCAAATCAAATTGAATCAAAGAATTCGAAGATGCAAGGACAAACTTCGGCCAATTCAGAAAATTATTTCCAAAAATTTCATCTCCTTTTCATAAATGTACATAAAACCATTGCATACTGTATGGAATTCTCCTAATATAGTTCAAAACTCATTCCGGAACCTGTACTTCCTCTTTGAGCGGAAAAGAATTCTAGAAATGTTTCATCAATCACGTGCTTAGGATAAACCTTTAGCACCTTTAAGATATACAAATAACATAAAAAGCGGCAAAAGCTCACCCTCCAAAAAAAAATAATAATAATAACCAAAGAACAAAAAACCAATCCCCAAATAATAATTCATTTTGAAAGAGAATTAAGATTAAAAAAAATTAAGTATTTCCATGAATAAAGAGGCCTGCAGGAGCAGAAACCTCTCAAACTAAAGAAACTTTATTAGTTCTACCTCCTTTTTTCATAAAGAGAATGAATCTTTTTCTCAAAGGATCGGAAAAAAATGGGTCTGGATCTCGCAACGAGCGCAAACCTCGTGTTTAGTTGCCATCGTTGAGTTTGGAACCCTTAACAGACTATCTAATGAATTCAAGGGTTCCAGTATAAATGAAAGAAAAAAGGAATGACCTGACAATAAAATCCTAATCTCAAAACAAAGGGAAGGGGGATATGACGATATTTGCAGACGCTATGGACTTAAGAAAATCTTAATCCAAAGAATTTATACCGGGAGAAAAAAAGAAGAAAAGAAACTGATATATGAATATCGTTTTTCGTAATTCCACAAAAAATTATAAAATCGTATTCCATTAAAAAACCTTCCAAAATCGAAATTCAAAGAAAAAAGAAAGATTACACTTTCCAGCGACAATTGAGTTTCACAAAACAGAACTAATTATACAACCCCTTAAAACCAAAAAGACAAATTATATGAATATATTACGGAAATCACCTGAAATGATTGAATTGATCCAATCAATGAACTCTCTTCTGGACCTAAGCTTTAAGAGAGAAGAATACTTCAAGGAAGAAAGCAAATACTATTTATCTCTAATTCCATAATAATAGCTCCACTTTGGGCTCCTCCTTCCCTACGACCACCAGATCCGACACGCCACCGTGGTTCCGATTTAAATAATAATGACTTTCAAAGATTTTGAAGATGTAAAAAGTTTAGCTGTATTGAATTGAGACTTTAAAAAATTTTCTAAAAGTTTGGGTGTATTTAATAGAAATTTTTATAGACTTTTAAAAGGTCAATACAAGTCACACGGTATTTAATTGAAATTTTTTAGAAGTCTCTACAAGTTTCGGGATATTTAATTGAGAATGACTTTCAGGGAGTTTCTAATTTATTGGACTTTGAGAGACTTTTTGGTAGAAAATATAAATAGCAATTCTCAAAAGAAAATCTCATATACATCAAGAGATTTCTCACACAAACCGTTTTCTTTTTCCATCTATGAGGTTTTCTCCTCAATCTCTTCCAATCAGGTAATAATTTTCTTTGAGCTCTGTGTTTTTTCTTTATTAACAAGTACATCTCTATCTCTCCCTCTATGAGTTTTCTGTTTGATTTATGGATAAACCCATCTCCAAAACTACTATAAATTTTTCTTTTCTGTTTTGTTGGAAAAATACCTAATTACTTAGCAATGAGAGCAAAGGATTCGAGGCTTATGAAAAAAATCAAAAGATTTGCAGAAAGAGGATGCCTCTTGAGATTGATCGAGAGCCATCCACAAAGTCGACATTGTTAGTCATTGGGGCTATTTTTTTACACTTATAATTGAAGAGTGGGGAGAAGTGTGAACTGATACCCTACCCCAAACCTATTTGTAGCCCACAAGTTTTCCTTTCTTTACGTATGCGTCTTGTTTTGATCTAGGATTTATATAATCTAGGAATTTTTTTTGGGGAGCAAAATGAACTGAATAAGTAAATTTCTTGAGTTATAACAGATGACACGAAATATCAGTAGGGAATAGGGATTTGTGACTTTTTGATTGCTAGAATTTAGCCACTGTCCTAAGGAGTTGCATCCACAACCCTTTCTTTGATTATTTTAGTTATAATTCTCTTTAGGATTTATGATGCGGACATCATCCTTCATCAGGCCCTTTGTTTGGGTCATTTTATCTTCCACTTATTTATGTTTTATTGGGCTTGTATATGG